GCCGCCTCCACGACGTTCGGTGGCAGGAGAGGCAAGGTTCGAAGATGAAGCGGACAAATTGGAATTGGCGAGAGAGGAGGATGAAGTGGCGGCATTCTTCCTGAAGGATGAGGGGGAGAGATTGCGCGAGGAGATGGAGGTGAGGCGCTTGAGCTTACTCGAGCTGTCGCTCTTCTGTGAGCTCACTACCCCATCGGATGATGGCGATTTGGCCGAGCTGAAGTAGGCCGAACCAGTGCGTGAGAGCTGGCTCTGGCGCTTCCCTTCTGACTGCGTCAGCTTCTTCTCCAGCTTCTCTCTCTTTTTCCTGGCCTTCTTCTCTTCGTAATCGCTCATCTCACTCTCTTGATCCAATCAAAATATTATTAATGTAAGCTTTTGTTCGCCTCAAGATGCTGCAGCGGCCACCAAGAAAATGACGAAGAAAAGGGACGTGCAAGTTGAAGTTTTTGTTGTTTAGTTGTTTTTGGATTGAAGAAGATGAAGGAGAGATGTAGGCCAAGGCGGCGACCCACTCCTCCCACTGGGGGAAGGTGAGTGAATAGCCCGGCTCCACTCTCGCGACCACTTAGCCCAACGTGCCGTGGCAGACGGTACCCCAGCGACGAAGACCGCCCCCTCACTGAAGAGGTCTGAACACGTTGCAACTCTATAAGTCGCTTGGCTTTGTGTGAAATGACTATGCCTTCCCTCGTCCCGCTGGCCGCTACTCATAGCCCCCGCTTGGGCGCTGCCATTGTGGGAGCCTTCCGGCCACTCCGACCAAAAAAACAGAATTTGGCTCCGAGCCCACGACCGAACAAGGAGGTTGCGCAGTATGGCCGTATCCATCAACCCTAGCATTATACGCCCTTCACATCCCTCTTGGTAAGGCGAGGAATGTTGTGTGGTGCTTTCGGCGATGTGGCTGTGTCCAACAATCGTCACTCTCTTCGCTCACGCCTTCAAGCAAGCCCGAGCTCCCTCTTGCCGTCCGTAACATTCTCATTGCTCCGCTCCTTCAACCTGCACACTCTTCGCCCATCACTTTCACAGTCCATAGCCGACAATCACCACGTTCGTTCCTCTTGCGTCGAGAGAGGAAATGAACACGAGAATGAACGACAGATCGGAGGGCTTCCTTGGTACTTGGAAAGCAGGCAACGTTTCCCTTTTGCACACGATGGGCTTCTCCATACCCAAATAAGTCTTGTGGCTCCCTCATCAGTCTCGCCAGAATCGAAGGATGGAGAGGTGTTCGTTGAAGGCGACCCGCGAAAGTATGTACTGTTGTTGTGCAGAGTTGGGACGCAGTGAGCGAGGGGGTGATCGCATGCTTCGGGCTGAGCGTCTCTGATGCAAACAGGAGGAGGAGTGCGGCACCTTGGAGGAGAATCCGGAACTAGCGAGGAGAGCCATGACCTCTTCTGGCTTGTTCTCTGTCACCACCACTAAGTAGAAGCACCCTTGAGGCGACATCAGCTCCTGGCACAGCGCCAGCAGGTGGTGTGTGTGTGTGTGTGTGTGTGTGCGTGTGTGTGCGTGTGTGCCGATGCGTTTTAAGTAATCTGAGCAGCAGTCTGCGACCTACTCCATGAATAGCTAGTACCGGGATGAGGGGCAGGAGTCGATCGAGTACTCGTCGGCCATCCACGCCACCAGCCCACGCTGCCTCTATGCCCTTACTTCCGACCTGCGCGGGCACTGGTCAGCCGGGCTCACACACCGATCGCCACCGCATCAACGCGGGGATAAGCATGTGTGTGGGTTCGAGACTCACCTCTTCGTCCTCTGTTGGCACATACGGGGGGTTGAAGAGAAGCACGTCGATCTTCCCCTTGGCGCGCTCTAGTCCTGACACGAGATCAGTGCAGACGCAGTTGACCGCCACCTGTGTAAACAACAGCCACCACGATCAGCACACCGGAGGCTAGTAGCATGGGCCATGCGATGGCAGGCTTACGTTGTTGGCGCGGGCCGTAGCCGCGGTGGCCTCGATTGCGTGCTGGTTGAGATCGGTGGCAAAGAAACTCGTCGGCAGACCGGGCAGCACCTCCTTCGCCAGAAAGCTCACCACGCACCCACTCCCCGACCTGTGCTTCGCTCCCCATTAGTCGACAAGAACGACGGCACTGGTCGGGCATGCGGGGGGGGGGTGACGCCAGGGGTGAGGTGCAGAAAGAGAGGGGACGAACCCGACCTCGAGGCAAAGATGGGGCTGGCGGGCACGGAGGAACGGTGCATCGAGCTGCAGCGCGTCAAGGAAGAGGAAGGTGTCGTGCGCAGGCTCGTACACCCGCTCGTAGTCTGCCGAGGTCAGGTGGCCCAGCTCCGGCGTCGCCATCTTTTCCGTCATCTCCATCTTCTTCTATGTTCTGTATTTTTTATTTTATTTATTTTCGTTTTGTTTTATTTCTTCTTCGGCCACGCCGGTGTTGTTGTGCCTTCCGCTGGCATTCACACAGCGTTGCGGGATCAAGAGGAAAAGAACTGGAAGGAGCGCATGATGGGCGCGGCGAGTGCCCACTCCTCGTCGAAGGTGGCGTCCATGGCCTGGAAGAGGAGCACGTAGGACGTGTTGCCGAAGAGGTAGACCCTCTGCAGGCATCGCATCTGCTGCATCGCAATGCCCTTGTTCATCTGCGGCGCTCCACCGACCGGCTGGGCGTCTGCGTACCAAAAAACACAGGCAGCACGACAAGGTGAGCGCCTTCTTTCTTTCTTTCTTTTCT